GAATTCATTCCAAAGCAATTGACATTGAGACGTTTTCACATGCATTTCTAATCTCTATATGCATGACTATCACTGGTCACAGTCGCCCAGTCATTACTACAACCTTTCTTCCTCCCTTAAAGTAACAATACTGTTAATGGAACCTAGGAATCTGAGTATTCTTCCTGAGCCTTTCAAAGTCAGTGACCAAGCACAGTATTTTTAAAAATATTTACAGCCCAAAACAAAACCATAATCTAACCTTTAAGCCAGGATACTGATGGTTCATTTTATAAGATGGGTTTCATAATTCATTACTACAACCTTTCTTCCTCCCTTAAAGTAACAATACTGTTAATGGAACCTAGGAATCTGAGTATTCTTCCTGAGCCTTTCAAAGTCAGTGACCAAGCACAGTATTTTTAAAAATATTTACAGCCCAAAACAAAACCATAATCTAACCTTTAAGCCAGGATACTGATGGTTCATTTTATAAGATGGGTTTCATAATGAATAAGCAACAATGGGCAGGAAATCAATCCTATTTGCATCTAATGAATGTTGAAAGTTCCTGAATATCAGACACATGGTTGAGTATCTCTTATCTACTTGAATATTTTGCTAACAAGCATAGCAAAATGAGAGTTTGTTATCTTTAAGACAAGTTCTTCTCACCTATTCATTGCAGACACTGGTATACTTATCACTCCTGTGTTCTCAATTTGTAACACTAAACATCTTTATTTTAAACAATTATCAAGTCAAGTTATACATTTTTGGCTTCGATTGTTGAAAAAATAATCCCTATCTAGACATGAACCATACCATTATATAGCATTCTCACTTGATAGCCCTGGTCTCCATCTCCTTGCCATGATAGTGGTCTCCATCTTGCCTCTGCCCTCATAAGTGCTGGGATTCCTTTAACTCTTTTTAAACTCAGTAATAAACCACTATTTGTAAACATTATTTTCTCTTTGTGACTTTACACTAGCATGGAACACTAGCATGTTTCTTAAAATTAAAATAAAAAAATGGAAGCAGATTTATGGTCATTCAAGTTAGCAACCCTTCTCTGATTCCCTCTGGCCTTAGTACTGCCAACACCTACACTCACGTACTTCCTAAACCTCTCATGTTGAACATTGGAAAGCCTATACTTGCCAGGAACCCTCATCCCAGCCACAGTTTCTTTGTCCACTTTATAAAACTAACTTCACCTTCAACAGTCATTGGACTATTCCCAAGAATTTCCATTCTTACAACCCTCTGGACCTCTGAACCCTTATAAACCTAAACAAACTACAACTTGCCAAAGTCAAAGTCATATACAAGTCAGATGGAGCTACAATTGTTACTACCGGTTTGGCTATGTCAGGAAATCATTTTATTTCTCACTAAGAGATGCTAAATGGATTTTTAAAAGAAATGTGGACTTTGAAGAGAGATAATTTTGTTCCCCAAAGCAAGTTGCATGGATATGTCAAGCCCAATGCTTGGCATTTAGAGGTACTCAATAATATATATTTTTATATTTATTTGGTTATTATTATTTTTTTGAAGCATACTTTCCCTGTAGCCCCAGCTAGCCTGGAACTCACTGAGTAGAACAGGTTGGCCTCAATATAGAGATCCACCTGCCTCTGCCTCTTGAGTGTTGGGATTAAAGGTGTGCACCATGACACCTGGCTTGAAAGAAAAATATAAATGCAGAGATAGAGAAATAAATAAAATAGACACTGAGAGTCCAAGCATACACCTTCACATTTATAATCACTTCATTTTTAACAGGTGCCAAGACAATTCAACAGAAAAATGATTGTCTTTTCAATAGATGATCCTGGTACAACTGGATATCAACATGTGGGGGGGGGGGAGAAATAAAAAGGACTGAGAGCACTTTCTCATCATACATAAGTTAGCTCAGGAGGGCTGGACAGATGGTTCAATGGTTAGGAATGCTTCCTGTTCTTCAAGAGGACCTGAGTTGGAATCTTAACATCTATATCTGGCAGCTTACAATTGTCTGTAACTCCAGCTCCAGGGGATCAGTTATGCTCTTCTGGACTCCGTGGGCACCCAAACATACTTGGCATAAACATACACACAGTCACACATATACACATTAAAAATTTTTTAAAAACTATAACTGAAGACCAGCCTGCAGTTCAGTGGCACAGCATTTGCCTAGCATATTATAAGGTCCTGGGTTTGAGTCACAGCAAAATGTATACACACTTACACACAAACTCAAGGTGGATCAAAGGCCGAAATGCAGGAGCTGAAACTTTAACGCTAATAGTAAAAAACAGGTGTAAATCTTGAGGCTCTGAAGTAGGCAATCATTTGTGAGATATAACACCAAGAAAAAAATAATTGGTACACACACACACACAAATCAATTGGGCTTCAAAAAAAATAAAACAAGAAAACTTGTGCGCTTCAAAGGATACCATCAAGAAAGGGAAGATCACCGACGTGTTATAGTTTAGAGCTGAGGCTTGGTCTCCAGTGTGGCAATGTCCAAAAGGTGAGACTTTGGGGAAGCGACTAGATCAGGATGCTATATCCTATTGAAAGTGTTCTGACCTCATCAATGGGTTAATCCACTGATCTATCTCTGTCATGATGCCCGCCACAGGCCCACAGCAATGCAGCCAACTGACCATGGAATGAAACTGTGAGTCAAAATCAATACTTTCTTTCAGGAATTTTATCACAGTGATGGAAAACTAACATGCCACAGATAAGAGGAAAATATCTGCAATCTTATCTGATATACAAAGAACAATTCCATAATAAAGACAACCAAATTAAAAACAAACAAGCAAGCAAACAACTTGAAAAGGCACATGAAAAGTTGCTGAACATCATTAATCATTGATGAGCTGCAAATCAAAACCAAATGAGACATACTTCATACCTACTAGCATTGGTATAATAAAAGATAGACAAGAGCTGGCAAGACTATGGAAAAATTGGAACTCTCATACATTGTTTTTGGCTTTGTAAAATGGTATAGGCACTGAGGAAAAACTGTTAGTGCCTTAAAATGTTAAATACTGAATTATTATAGCCCCATATATAAATGAAAATACATACTCCCCCAAACTCTTGTTTTATGTCTGTTCACAGTGGTATCCCTATGAGCCAAAAAGTGGAAACACTAAGTCTCTATCAACAGGCAAAAGGGTAAATACATTGTGGTATATCCTTAAAAGTGAAGATTAGAATAAAATAGAGTGGTATATGTGAATATATATTTTCTCAAAGAATAAATAAATGTAAGATGTATTATAGAAAGAAAAAAAGAAACAGAGTACTGATATATGCCACAATACTGGGCAATCTTTAAGACATTATGTTGAGTTGGGAAGAAATCAATGGCAAAAGGCCACAAAAATCTATAGAGCGGGAAAGAAGATCTGTGGTTACCTAGGGCTGGGAGGTTTGGGGAGAAATAGAAAGTGATTGTTAATGGATTTCTTTTTTGGGGTAATGAAAATGTTCTAAAATCGATTGTGGTAATGGTTGTACAACTCACTATACATTCTAAATGAGTGAATTATACCTGAATAAAGAGCTGTTAGTTTTTAAAAAGTGAGTGAAGTACAAAGCCTCATTACATAATTATGTAACACAGCCAGAGACGCTAATTAGTCAAACATTTAGTGAATAGTTAGTCAGGTAACACTTCAGATAAGTTAAAAAAAAAAAAAAAAAAGACTGAGAAGCAGATTTCCTCTGACTATCAAGGATTTGCTGCTGCTGCTTCCTTCTCCTCCTGCTGCTCTTCCTCCTCTTATTCAGAAATCAGCTTATTACACAAAGATCTGATTTTCCCCCTTAATTTTTGCCCTTTTTTCCACTAAAGCCCTAAAGCAAAGGGCTACATGGCTACGTTGCTCCTGTTTTCAGCAATGCTTCAGGACGCTGCTGTGTCTTTCTTAGTGAAGTCCAGGATCTGGACCTTAGAGTCACAAGTTAAAACCCTGAGTTTACCTGACTGGCCAACAAGACTTGAACTGTGGGAGCCTGAGTCATACTAACAAAACCATGGAAGAGTTGGTAATAACCCATCCATTTATGCACCTAATATGGCACAGACTTCTAATAACCAAAGACAAGGATTTTACAGACCCTCATCCAGGGGTACTTTTTTCCTGATGTCAAAACCTGAATGCATAGAAAGTGTGACTTTAAAGCATACATATATAACCAGGCTGGCCTTGAACTCATAGAGATCCGCCTGCCTCTGCCTCCCAAGGGCTGGGACTACAGGCGTGAGCCACCACGCCCAGCTATGCATATTTTTTTTTATATTTAGAAGCTTCTTAAAATATATGCATATACAGGGACTGGACAGATGGCTCAGCAGTTAAGAGCACTGGTTGTTCTTGCAGAGGACCTGGGTTTGATTCCCA